AGTGTAAAGTGAAGTTTTGTTTTAATATATTAATAGATATATTTCTGATATTTCCAACATACATTATTGGATTAAGCCTAACGACGTTTTTTTTTTTCTTACATCATTGTTCATTTTTGTACAGACAACTTTTAAAAAAATAAGCAAAAAAATTAGTAATAATGTGGCTATTATAAATCATTGACTAATCCATTTTACCATAATTGAAAATTTTCTAGAATTTCTATGAGCAAAAAAGAATTTCTAAAGGCAATTTTGTTAAATTATTTTCTTTAACTTCATTCACTTTCTAGCCTATACAAAAGTATAATACAGTAAATTTTACCAGTTTAAGATATCTTTCAATTTATGAACTAATGCTTGAATTATTTTATTTCTAATATAAAATCTTAAAAGTCGGAGAAGGGCTGTAACACATTATCAAAAATTGACATTTAAACTTTTAGGTATTTGCGAATACATATTGGTGATCTATTATACTGAATGTTTTGGACTACAGAAGAAAAACCCAACTTAATGAACTTTTATTTTATTCAAAATAGTTAAATGCTGAGCTTTGCAGAACTACACTCTTTGATTGCCTTGTCATGGAAGACAGAGCAGAGTGGCCAAAACAGTTTTCAAAAATAATATGAATCAAATGTTTCTACCATCTTATCTACATTTTTTGTCATACATTATGATCTCAAAGATTATTAGATTTTCCACTTTTCTCCATCATATTTTCCTTCCTTTGCCTTGTTTCCCTTACTTTTTTTCCTGAGTTGTATGAGAATTTTTATTTTAGCATATACTTCCCTACTACATGAAGGATAGTTCTATTTTTAGTTAATACTGGTTGTCTACCCTTATAAAAATGCCCACATGTTAATTTTTCCAATTAAGTTTTGCTATATGAAATTTAGTAACTTGGAAATATTGGATTTTTTTCCTCAATGAATGCCAAACCTCTAAGTGATTCAACACAAAGCTTCTTTTCAAAAACTTGATTTTAAAACAAAGAAAACTTACAGTAGCTCATCCAATTTGATACATAAATTCACAATCTCCTTTTTCTCTCAAAAATATTGTGTTACTGCAAGTGTACATTGTAAAATCTCCCCAAAAATCTCAGAAGTAGAGAGACGTGTCCCCTGAGGAAACAGCCTGGGACTCAGAGGAACCATGGCAGCCATCTGGCCTGGGTCTTCCCATAGCACCAGCCAGTGTGACACAGCAGTGACCCTGTGCTGTCCAGACACTGGTTCTCATTTTCTTTCTGAAAGAAGTAAAAACATGTATCTTATTTAAGTCATCAGTAAACTAAATGTGGAAGGAGGAGAAAGTGAAGATTGCTTTAGATCAAGTCTCTGATATCCTTTATACACACTCAGGAACATTGTAATATGGCTACCTAGGTTTCATCTGTGTTGTGGAACTTCTCAAGCAATGAGGAAATGATGAGAGGAAAACCTAACAGATTCAAAATACTGCTTCATGGTCATCAAAATTTTGTTTCCTTACCCAATGCTGAATTCCATTATTATTTAATAGAATTAGAACTGCAGAGGGAATAAAAAATATTTGAGGTTAAACATCTTCTATTTGTAGATTATTTTTGCATTTTTGTGTGAGAAGCTTATCACTGCTATTATAATGTGCTTTTCCTCTGCATCTTCATACTGGGAATAAACTTGTAATTGTTCCATGCATACTGTTTGCATTAAAGAATACTCAATAAATAGTGCTGTGTGATGGACTCAATTCAAACTAAAAAAGAAAATAAGAAATAACCATTTGGGTCACCCATTAAGCATTGGCAACACATAAATGAAGAAATTTTAGCAAAGCACTTACATGACAATTCAGACAAAATATTAAAATATTTATATACAAGTCAGCCAAATTTAGGAAATTACTCATACTTTCTGTATGTGAATATTAATTTTCAAGAGAGACAAACTACATCATGGCTGATCATACCACAGGGCACTCATTAAGCTTTTAATTTCAGATATAATGGATATTGATTGAAGAAAATTCCTGGTGTTTCCAAATGATCACTCTGTCCCTCCTGCTGATATTGCTCAGAATTCTAAAGAAATGCAATTCAGTAGTTACACTGTGAATTATGTCACTTTAAGAATTTGATTACTGAAATCATTTCTGTCTGTGCAAATCTCAGATTTTTTTTCTTTTTTTTAATTTTAGTAACTCTTAATGGGTGAGTATTATATTTGATCTTAGATTTACAAGTTGTAAGGAAACAGTTGAAGTTGTTATCACTACCACTAAGACTGAGTGTTTGGTTCAATGTTATTTTGGCTGACTTTCTGCAGAAGACACATGAGCTAAATACATTTCTGGAATCAAATAAAGGCTAGTATTGGCAGAAGCTACCCGTAAATACATTCTTAATTACTTTTTTTGACAGAAGTGTCTCTGAAATAAAACAGAAGTGACCATTTGGAAGCTGTCATTAATTGGCAGTTCATCATACAAGAATCATTCTCATTAATTTTGGTTTTATTAAATTCATCTAGCAATAGTTGGTGTCTGAGCAGGTGATAGAAGCAGCAAAACAAAAAATGGTCTCTCCTTTCTTTTATTCCATATCCATGATCAATGATTAACTCCCGGAGACTTCACAGTCATCTCGGTATTTTGAGTTTTTCAAATATATAATATGAAATTAAAGAAACTAGTATTTTAAGATATCATGCAAACTTTAGTATGAAGACTCCAAGACTCATCCCAGTAACAGTGTGGCAAGGCATGTTATTTATTTCCAAGAACTAAATTGTTTAGCAAAATGCATGGGGAAGAAGCATAGAGGAACACATCTTATTTAGACCAAAGCAGAAGCCAAGAAATCTTTGTATATGCCTTGAAAGTTAAGTTAAAAGAGACGCTGTTCATATGCCTCAACAAATCTTATTGATACCAGGAGATCAACGTTTTTTCTAATGTTTCGTGAAAATCTACACTTTGAAAAGTATATATACATCTTTCACTTATACCAAAGTGAAATTAATTGAAGCTTTTTTTTAAGTTTCGTTATTTATGTCTTTAAATAATTTTTATATATTTATTTTTATTTTTATATTCCCCATAAATTGCGACCTCCTTATTTTGACCCCAATCCCTCCCCTCCCCACGCCCCACCCCCCATAGAGTGTCTCTGGTTCATAGTTGTTTGTTGATTTTGATTTTTACTTTCTTATAATTATTCTTTTTCCTGGTCCCTTATTTAAGTTTTCTAGATTCCTGCTGGAAGGGATCATGCTCAGCAAAATAAGCCAGAAAGAAAAAGAAAAATACCGGATGGTCTCACTCATAGCAGGAATCTAGAATCTAATTGAAGCTTTTAAACAGTGTTTTCCAATGTGATAAATTTGAAGAGCTCACTGAATGGCTCTGGAGTCATCCTTGCCCACAAAACCTTCACTTTGGGGCAAGCCCCTCCCCGTTCTACTTCTGGAGTAAAATTTCATGATGAAAAATCAGAAATGGGTGAAATGACATATATGGGGAAAAGTAGAGATCTGAAAATAAATGTTTGACTTTCCAGTCTGCAAACTGTTGAGTGTGTTGGTATTGACAGTTCCTGAACACTTACACTAACAGACAACTCACTGTTATCCTAGTTACCACACTCTTTAATTCCAAAAAGAGGTAAATTTTGAGTCTGTTGACTTTAGCCAAAATTTAACTTTCTTTAAGATGATATGGGAGAGAGACAGATTCCTAGAAACTTGATTCCAGAGTTTTAATGTGATTTCAGTGAAATTATATCTGTAGAAATTAGATTATTATTTGTAACACACAGCCAGTACTAGCTATAGTTGCCTAACTAAAGTTAGACAGAAATCACATTTGACATTTACTGAGCAATTACAGTGTGAAAGCATTGTTCTAAGGAAATTTTTCATATTTTAATTCTCAAAACAATTTGTGATACAAGTGATATTATCTCTAATTTATAGATGAGGAAACTGAGGTAGAGAAGGTCTAACAAAGGAGCCCAGGATGACAGATGCATAATAGCAAAACTGGAATGTGGAGAAAGCACACTGTTAAAGAGCTTGAATTATTAATCCCCTTGACATGACTTTTGAAGTGTGGATATTATAATATTTTTTAAGTAGCTTCCCAAATAATTCCTGATATATATGATAGTGCTCACGAAGTGCGCTTCTGTCATTACAAGCATTCCAAGAGCTAACTAAAACACTGATAAAATTCCTTTTCTATTTATGTTTACCAAAGTCAGACAAATCCATTAAATTAAGGATCAGGTCTTTTTAGAAAGATGCTGTTTAATATATTTTATCAACAGCCTTGTTTTGCTGTAAAATTTGTTTATATTTTATCTGATTTTTAATTAGTAAAGTTTTTGTCAAAGTCTCCATCTAACTTATTTCTCAAGGATACTGCCAGATTTACTGATGAATTATTATAAATTCCTGCATGTGACATAGTTGTTAATTATTCCTTCCTTAGATATGATACAGTATATTTAATAAATAGCACCACTGATGTTTTAAAATGACTTAAGTTCTCTTGTTTTTATTAAATTTATTTTAACCTTTTAATGCACTCTGGCTATCAATTTGCAAAAGTCTAACAAAAGGGTTCACTTAAGCTTATTTTTTGGAGAAATTATCTCTTCTTACCTTCTGATTTCATATGTCAAAATTGTCCAAAATATATAACTCTATCAAGAAAATGTCTTAGAGATGTTCTGGGTGACATTGTGTGGGGGGGAGTCCTACTAGTTAAGAGATTTCTGGAGACACTAAACATTTTCAACTTCATTGATTAAAAAAACTTCCAAGCAGATGGGCACATGGTTTTCAGGGTTTTTATAATTAGTCTCTTCACAAGGATTGATTCTTTTAAATTTTTACTTTTAAGCTGCAGGTGAAAAGCATATAATTCTGCATTCATTAGTAAAATGCTGTTGTTTTAAAAGTTAAGAAATATTGAAAACTGGATTTTTCTCATTTTTGTTTTTGCAGATGTTCGAAGAAGAACAATTTATGAATATCATCGAGTAGAGTTACAAATGTCAAAAATTACCAACATTTCAGCTGTGGAGATGACTCCACTGCCTAGTAAGTGAACGTATAAACATAGCTATATTGAAGAAAATGATTCACAAGTTTGATGATCTTTTCTGTTTGCCAATAATTATAACATGGTGCTTGGCAAGCATGGTATCTTGATTCTGTGTGTGTATTAGGGGGTGGGTGAGTAATTTTTATTCTAATTGAACAATCATTTTATTCTAATTAATCATTTTTTATTCTATTGAACAATATTCAATATTCTAATTGAACAACAATCATTTTGGGATTTGGATTTGTGTTCATTTTTTTCTTCAAGCTGCCATTTCCCCTTAATGAAGCTATTCTCTCCTTATTTCTAGCATGTCTCCAGTTTAACAGTTGTGGCCCCTGTGTATCCTCTCAGATTGGCTTCAACTGCAGTTGGTGTAGTAAACTTCAAAGGTAAAAACTAATCATTGAAAAATTTGTGGCTTCTACTCCTCCATTGAGTGTTCAGTGTGTCAGACTCTCAGTTCGGTATACATAAACAAGTGTGTGTGTTTAAAAATATACCATAACCAAAATACAAAAGAAAAATGCTTAAAAGTGAGAATTCTAATATTTCCCTATGTCTGATTGCTCAAAAATTACCAAGAATAAGATCATTCATTGTCATTAAGATCTTATGGCATATATTTTTAATCTCTATGGGACATAACATAGATGATGGTTATAACTGATAAGTCTACAGATCAATCATTTTTGGTCTGTAGTTTAAATAAAACCTAGTATGAGATACCTTTACCTGGAATGGCTTATGCATAATCATATGTACTTTTTTTTGCACAGAAGAACCTCGGTGTAGGCCAGAGGTGTGTTGGGGAGTGAGAATTCACCAGAGACAGAGTGGGGAACAGAACAGACAGATATACTGAAATACACAGCTGAGGGGAGCAACAGACGAGACAGGAGAGGTCTGTTGTGCCATGTGGGTCATCACTGAGGCCAGGATAGAACTCAGGCCATCATGGTGATAGCACTGAGACTTAACTCCTAGGCTTCCAAGGAGGCCCCAACATACACTTTTGATCTAAATGCCTATAAATTTCTCAAAGGTACTAACCAAGATTAGAGGTGTAGTCTAAGATTGAGAAACAAAAGTAACACTAAATGATTTTTACATAAATAGAATGCATGATTTGGGCTTAAACCTCAAATGGCATCATTTACTGGTATCAAAGAGATGTCCTGATTTTCATTTATGGAAAAGAGAATTTCAATCCCTGGAGTTTTTCAGACTGAACGATCATTTATTGGAAATACAGAGGGAAATTTTTTAAATGTTTTGTTACTTAACAACTATTTTGTGCGTCACTTGTGTTCAAGCTCTGGGGAAGTCGCACTGAATAACAAATATATTGTCCCTGACCCCCATGTAGTTTATCATTTGTCTGGGAATAAGTCCTCTCTCATGTTCAGCATCTAAAAAATCTTCCTCTGGTGGAGAACCAAGTGTTTCAGTTCTTGACTAGTTTATGTTGCAGCACTTTTTAGTGTCTGAGGATCCTGTGTCTTATCATCTTGCTACAGCATTTGCTGTTGTGATAGAGGCATGTTCAAGAGTACTTTTAAAGTTATTGAAGTCTAAATTTCCTAACTTTGAGGCACCCACTATAATACTGTGGTCAGAGCAATATAATTTATTATAACCTCTGTTTTGTTTTCAATTTGATGTTCCAATAATTCCCTTTATATAATGGATTTCAGATTGTGAAAAGCAAGCAGGCAATTAAGATTCTTGAAGTAGATTTTAACTTAGCTGTATCTCCAGAGTGGAAAGAAGCCAGGGATTGTGGTCATGTATATTCATATTTTGCTGACATCCCATGTAAATTGCCATCATATCTGGAGTTGCTCAAAATCCATTTAGATCACCACCAAAATGAATTTAAAGAATTGGCATTTTAATATGAAAATTTAAATAATACTGAACTCAAACATGAAAGATGCCCAAAAGAATTAAGTAGAAGACCCTGGTATGGGAACATACATAATTCCAGTTGCAGTTCAGCAGCTGGAAATCTTTCTAAACCATGCATCTGTGTTAACTGCCCATCTCCTGTGTTTCCCTGGCATCTTAGACAAACCTTCATCATTATGATTTTGCACAGAGCTTGTAGGTCTTGTTTATTTTATCTGTCTCCTTTTCTAAGCTCTGGTTTATTAAAGTATATTTTGTATCTCTGGTTTATTAAGGAGCTTTTATAAAAATAATTCAGTAAGACCAGAAAAGATTTTTTTCTTCCATCCATCTTAATTTCTCCATTGAAATTATGAATTTACCTGGTACGGTACAAAATGAATGAATGAATGAATGAATGATGATTCCAAATGAAGAAATCATGACTAGATTGTCTGGGAACAAAGACCTTCCCAAAATGAGGGGCTTTCAGTGCTGAACTCAAGAAAGTTTAGGGATGATCAAAGCAAGTTAGTAAGCCAACCAGGGTACTATTCGTAAGTGTTATTATGGCAAATGAATGTTTGAGACACTTAGAAATCTACCTTCCACTGGGTTTCATAATGGTTTTAAAAAACACTTTGGTGGAAACGAGCAATTTTGACAATCAAAATGCATCCACAAATTGGAAATGACTGTAATATTTATACATCTATTTTATTGAGAAATTTCTCTGACAGACATTGCACCCAAGAAATTTTAAAAATATTTAACTCATATGGCACTTAGTACAATGGAGGAAACTGAGACTTGCAGGAACTAAGTTATTTGCACAGATTCTCATTTCTCTTGAGTTTAAAATTGAACCTCCATCTGTGTGATTCCGTGGCCTGTGGTATGGATGCCTCACCTGCTCTGCCTCGCACCTGCCAGACTGCAGGTGCACTGAGGAAGTTAATCTTCATTGGTTCCTGAAATGTTCATTGCTTCAGTAGACACACTACTGAAAATATGTTCATAATTGATGTTGCAAGTAACTTACATGCCTTTGAAATTGTCATAGAAAGAATGCAGAAGAATATTAAGCAAAGCAAAAGATTTTTGTATATTATAGTGTTTTTAAATAAAAAGATTAATGGGGAAAATGTGGTGATATATATGAATGAAAAAAATAATTCATCAAAGAATACTACAAAAAAAATCTGAAAGTTTTATGCATGTTACCATTTGGTACTTTTGTTGAATACAAACACTGGTTTAAAGTCTAGGATTTATTTTTAATTCTCCAGCCACCCATTCATATACATATCAAAATCTGCTTAATTAATTGGTTTAACTATGGCTCATTGCACTTTTGTTCAATTTAATTTCCCCGCTGCATTTATTTATGTCTCCTTAGACTTGTAATCTTTAAAATGTTTTGATTTTTTTATGAGAATTTTCCTTGACTTAAGAGCTTTTATTAAAATAATTCAGTAAGACCAGAAAAGTCTTATCCTAAGCAACACAAAAATTGCCTCTCAGATTTTTTTCTTCCATCCATCTTAATTTCTCCATTGTGTTCATTTATCACTGAATGATAATCAGTTACTGGTCATTATTTGAGCTCTCAAATTGGGCTTACTCTAAAAAGAAAAGATAATTTAAACTTGTTTATTTCCTTTAATTTCTATTTTTGGGGAGAAAAAAACTAAAGCAGAATGTCTATAATGGCTTACCCAAGGTCTAGGAGAATAAAATCCATGATCAAAAATGTTTGCTTAGAATAGATGTCCATTTTTACTTCTAAGTAAAAATGTTTTTCTTTCTTCACTGCAAATTGAGAGGATTTGAATCAATCAATTTCAACTATACTTTATATCTTCACTTATTCAACAAAAGTTTTGAGTGTCTGTGTTCCGGTTACTAACTGAGATTGTCGGTTCAGTGATCAACAAAATAAGAAAAGATCACTTCTGAGATAGAACTTACACTTTGAGTATGAGGAGACAGATTTTAAGCAAATAGAGGTAGCAGTGAGCATGAAACACAGAGGTAGTTAGAACAATAATCAAGTATTAATCAAAGCTACAGCCATCATGGTGAGGGCAGAGATGTATTTCAAAGGAAGTGGCAAGTGCATTGGTCTTATAGTGTGTTTAAGCTTGATCTGAAAAAGAATGGGAAACAACACAGTGATTTGAGAGCATTGTGGGTGAGATCAAAAGGGTTGCAAGGACAACTTTGCAAGGACAACTTTTGCAAGGACAAACCAGCAAGAGTGATGAGATTTCCATCTTTAGTGTTTAGAAAAACTTAAACAGAGGGGTGATGTGAGTTAATTTTATTTTAATAATACAACTCTGCTCCAAAAATTATTGCCTTTTTTACCTTTTTCTTTTTTGGTTTTTGAGGCAACAAGAATGAAAAGGGAGAGAGTGGTAGAAAGAATGTGCTGTTGTGTACAGGAAGTTGGTAGCAGCTTAGACAAGAATAACTGTAGAATCGGGAGAGATGAATGAATGTTATGTGTACTTTGGAAGGAGACAAGTTTCTCACTAAAAGATAAGAATGAAGAAAAAGGGAAAGGAAAATGAAGGATACGTTCTAGATTTCTGTTGTGCTATTTTATGGATATTTTGTTTACTGAGCTAGGTAAAATGGCACAAGAAAAATAGACTGGGGTGGGGCAAAATAAAGATTTTGGTTGGCAGCAGATTCAGTTGGAGATGCCTATCAGATTTTAAGTGGAAATCTTGAGTAGGTGGCTCTGTATAAACCAGAAATTATACAATTATACAAAGAGATTATGGCTAGAGGTTCAGATTGGAATGTCATTATCATATAGATAGTGTTTAAATTCATGGGAACAAATGATATCAGCTATGGAGAAATGTAAATTGAAAGTAGAAGTTCCAGGAAGTAGCCTGTGGCATGAGTATTGAGATATAATACAAATTTTCATTACAAAAAATATTTTAAAGTATATTTTTATATACATATGTCTATATAGACAGGAATACCTCTGAAAAGATATAGGCAAGGGATACCTCTGAAAAGAGAGTAATAACAATATTTGTCCCTGGGGATATGAACTTGAGGAAAAAAGGAGGAATCAGCAAAGGAGAAACAAGATAACATAAACCCATTAAAGGGTAGAAATACAGTCTTATTCATCTTAGTGTCTTCCACAATCCCCAGCACAGTGTCTGCCTAATATGGGACTTTAATACATGGTTGGTTTAAACTATGTAGATAACTGAGATCAGAAATTTCCACTTTCCTGAGTATTCTAATTGCCCACTTTATTAATAACCATCTACTTTGACAGTGTCATAAATGGTTATCAAAGGAACTAAATTGATGCCTGGCATAAAATGTCAACATTCATAAAAAAGCATTTTGAACACTGGGGAGTTAGTGTCTTGGGGACTTGCTTTTAAAGGATTTTCTATCATTTTGCTATGTTAAATTTCCCTTTTAAAAATATCTATAGCAATAACTTAGAGATTTGCTGTACTTT